CAGAAAACTGTCAGGAACAGTAGATGAAGGTATCATATTGATGACAAAGATTAACCATCCAAAACTCAAAAGGAAGTAATCAATCCATACAAAATAACAAAATGATTATGGTGGACAAACGTGACCAAAACCGGTGGACTAGGACGTGACAGTGGACATAAACAAAACATGGACAAACGTGACCATCAACACTGTCAAATCCATTACTACTCAGTAGTTTCGTGGTAATAAGCTTATACCTACTGCAGTTATATGTCCTCTTAAATATAAGTGTTAATGCAGTTTATCCAAAAACAGTAACATCTTAAACAAAACATGGTTCAACAAAAGTGGGATGGACAAAGTTTGACATCAACATTATCAGAAAATTTCATTTTAATGCAGCAGAAGGGCACCCAAAAACCTGCATTACATGTGCATAATTAAATTGTCACTAGATGACTCTAGGTGCAGTGTTTACTCTGGCAACTTTAATTTTTCAAAAGTACCCCCAACATGGGTTCCATAGTTTTTTTGACACATAGTTTTTCTTTTGACATTCATTCAAATGAAAACAATGTTTTTCAAAAAATAAATATTTTTCTTGTTTTTGTACTTTATTTTGAAGATAGACATAAAAAAAAATTTATGACATTTGGGTTCATTCTGGTCAAAATATGCTGCTGTGGAAAAGATTTATCTGACAAGTACCAGCAGCTGTAAAATTATTTTGCCAGGTATCTTGTATAAAGATGTGAATCACATAAGTTATTTAGCATTTCAACAAGCTTAGATTATTATTTGGCCAAATGTGACATGAAAATGCACCCAAATATCACTAAGAAATGTAATGTTAAAATCTAATGCCGTTGCAAAAATAGTGTCCGACAACAACATGTACTTGTGATATTCAGAATCTATCCTGAACCATATATAAATGAGTTATTTTTGCTTTGAAACAACAATATATTAAAAGAGAAATGCCTATTTATGTATGTTGGCACCCTAAGCAAATTTTAGCCAAAATATCTTGTCTTTGTAGTGTACTCAATTGAATACAGGTCAAAAAGGATTTGCAATCATTGTATTCTGTTTTTATTCACGTTTTGCACAACGTCCCAACTTCATTGGAATTGGGCTTTGTATTATTGTGAAACAAGAGCAACCATGGTTAGGAACGCAGGGAAATTTGGACTCTCCAAAATTATTTGTTGGAATACACATTCTCATAACTGAGAAAAAAATCAGTATAATATTAATTTTTGGTTTCAGAATCAAAATATTTGAACCTGCTGTTATATAGGCTTCCAGCTGTGGCTGTATTACATTTCTAGGCTGATGAAGTTTGGTCACAGCGCCACAGGGGCGGAAGGAATACAGACTTTTTTTCTGTCAGACAAAAAATAATATTTCCAGGGTTTTTACTCAATTTGAGTAACATTCTCAGCAATTTTGGCTATTTGAAGGCAATCTACTGATTGCCACCTATCAAACAAATATAAGGTTTTGCCTGTAGTCAAAGTGGTTGAAGAACAATAAGCACTTCAGTTTGGGAGGAAGTTGCTCAAAAAAGGACTGCACTTAAAAGGGTTTACTAAAACGGAATTGTTCTGAAATTCTGTAATGTCTGGCACTTCCCAACCATTTAAGCATGATTTTGCCATTTTTGATGCAGGTGTGCTTTTAGTCATTCATGCACAATCAAAAGGTGAACTGTTTACCCAGAAACTTCTAAAACTTAAGAACTTTTACTGCAGTAAAACAATTAATGCAAAGAAACTTTGAGTATGTGTACAGGTTCACTTATTGGGCTGTGGTAAAACATGATACAATGGTAGGTGAGATCAATATGTATTCATTCTTCGTTCAGCACATTCTTACATTTTATTTATTTGTATTTTTTTATTTGGACAAACTGCAGGAAATGCCTGCATGCTTTACTTCATTGAATGAGTTTAATTTCATCAGTTATCACAAGATTATTTTTATTTAACTTTTTTAGACCAATTCATTAATTAAATTCTGGACTTTCATGTGTTTTGCCTTTAGATACTAGCTTGCAAATTGCTCAGACCTCAGGAAGAACCCTAAGGTGCTGAATTTTCTTACTTGGCAAACTGGCTGCTGGTTTGAATAAAATATGCAGTATTTGTATTTCTAGTCCCTGATGAGTGTTTCTTGTGACCTTTTCATATTTTTGAAAAAAGAGCGTTTAAATTTTGTTCATCCCTACCCACATGGAAAGAATCTATATGAACATATATGCGCATATATGCAACCTATATGCCGCATATAGGCCAAATTCAGGTACATATATGTGCTTATAGAGGGCATATAGGTCTCCTATATAGCTCATATACCCAGTGGCAGGTTCTGTTTGTCATACCTATTGTATAGCTCATATCTCACTTTTGCAACTGTCATACATGATGCCTAGATAATATTTTTATTCTCAAGGTAATATCTGCATATAAGTCCAAAGTCTCTTACAGAAATCACAAGAATTTCATGCAATAACTTATTAATTGCATGTGAACATGTGAAATTGGCATCACATTTGATCCTAAATACATGTTGACATGTGACAACGGCATGTTATGTGTAAACCAGTCATTATCAACCATGGCAAGTGAGAGGAGACAAAAAGCTATGATATCAACACAAATATCTAATACTATTTGTTACATTTTTTTTCCTGAAACATTAACAATAACAAGGTCATCAATTCTTTCTTGACCATACTTATTTCCATTCTATGAAGATTGAGTTGTGTATTGTGGAAGAGAAGGAAATGTATAAAAACAAAATGGTTAGATTATGTTTATTTCATCAATTAAGCATTTTTTCAAGTTTAAGTCACTGCCAGATTCACCACATTAGATAAAATTGGATTCACATTATTACAGCTTATACACATCCACTGAAAGGTTCTACACTACACTGTTACATCCACCAAATGCAATGTTTTCTATCTTGTCTGCAATGCAGGTCCTTAGTCTAAATGTAGCAAAATAAAACAAAAATAACAAAATAAAAGTACACAGAAGAACATACATTCAAGTAAACATGCCTTTCAAAAGTCATTTTCATCCCCACATCTATTTGAGCATTTCACTGTGGATAATGAATTTGAAGACAAAGTCTACATTTCTGTTCACTGTTTTAATGAACAGACACTTGTCTTTTATTTGAGATGCCTGTATAGCAACTAAAGGTCCCAGACTTTTTCCTACAGGGATGAAATAACAGGGATTCTTAAATTCCCACACGGAAAGAACCTATATAAACATATAGGTTTTAATCCCCGCCTTGTATCAACCAGCAGTGGTTGTCAGCTCTTTTCAGAAGTAGCGCGCAATTGGCCAATGCGCTACAGAGATGCAAATTGCGAAGGACCTGCTGGGAAGGGTTATGTAGATTAGTTCCCCTAGGTGTGTCCTGTTGGCTAGACGGGCGCTCATAAAGCAGATTCTGACCCAATGAAGATAGATTATCTTCCGCCCTTGTTCTGAGCTTGATGAGTCTCGCCAAACCAATATATAAAAAGCAATTGCTAACAATCGCGGGCTGTGTACACACTCCTGAATTGCCAATAGGGGCAGCATATGCAAATAAGCCTAAGGGACTGTCCCAATACCCACACTTCCACTCAAAATTGACCCTAGCCTTAATATTTGCGCATTCCCGCGAAGGGCAATGGTGTCCCAAACTGTAAAATGATTAAGGGAAGTGCTTTTTAGCCCTTAAAATTCCCACTTAATTGTAAGGGCCGGGCGATGCTCACTACAAACTGAGGGTAAGAATGAATTTAAGCTTACAGGATGCACTGCGAGACTATCGAGCTGGACGAGTTTTCCAAGAAGATGGCAGCTGCCATGAAAAAAGCATTGCACAATTGTAAGCACTATTTCCGTAAGCATGCATGCAAAAAATCCAAAACATGTCAGAATGTGTTATGTTTGTGGGTATACACCTTTATCTGTAAGTGTTGATTTAAAATATGAATGCTTGAAAATCGCTAATTCACGTTGTAGCCAGCATAAAATCCACCGAGTTCTCTGTATAGCAGTAATGTTGCACGCATTTGGCTAATGTTATCGTTATGCATGACGAGCATGCCTGCGTTTTACACGTGTTATATTCCAATTTCTTTGAAATTTGTGTCATGACATGACCTGGTTTGTGATTGTGAATGCGAAGCATACCACGACAGCTACTCGGTTGTAGCTGCGTATGTCTACTTTAAAAGTTGCAATGATCGCTCTGGCAAGCCATGTACTGAGTCGGTAACTGTATAATGTAAGCTACTGTTCAGTGTACAAAACCAATACAGATTACATGATAGAATGTAAACGCCTCGAAATAAGTGCAAGAAGCGTATGTCAGCCATACGCGTGACGTACGTGGACACACGTGTTACACTAATTTGCATGAAGTGGCGTCCGAATTCTTAGGTGAAATTCCCTTCCCCTCAAAACTACCGCTTCGTTGTTGAGGGAAATCTTAGTATTTAGTGCACTTGAAACCAAGGGTTAAGATTAAGGGAAGAGAATTGGGATTGGGCCTAAGAACTTGTGCATAGTTCCCTAATTGGAATATCCCAGAATTGGGGTGGGATTGGAGATGCCAAATAAAAAAAAAAAACGTAGAAGTTTTAATTGGCCGTTTTCATATATTATAGGTACATATATGTACCTACAATATATGAAAATGGCCAATTTTATGTATGTCGCATATATGCAAAACCTATATCTGGCCCTATATGTAAAACCTATATGTTTATATAGGTTCTTTCCACGTGGGTAAATAAGAAAAAGTTGGGTCGGGACGATGAAATAATATTCAAACTGAAAGCAGTGATTTGTAAATAATCTTTGACCTTAATTATGTTGAAAACACTACAACAGCACTTTATGATTGACCACATTGACCACATATGAACCATTCAACCAAGTTAAGGTGATTTACGAAATGGATTTCGTCTCGAATCAAGAATTTTAAGAATGTGGCAGGCCAAAAGAGGGCCCAGTCGGGGTTTGATCCCTAGACTCTCAGGTAAGAGTCACGTGCGCTGACCACATCGCCAAAGAGCCAGGCTCATTGGCACCCAAAGTCAAGGATCAGTGCCACCCAAGGTAAAGGTGTCACCCACAGCTATTACTGGTCAGTGCTTCAGGGTCCCAGTCTCTGTAGCCTGTAACGGTGTGACTCTCCGCACAGAGGCCCCGATTGACTCCAGTGCATTGGCGACTTTGTCTACAACCAGCTGGTGTGACCACCCTCCTTCACTATTTAGTCGTGTTATCAAATATTGGCGTTTTGGGGTAAAACGCCCATTATTGTCCCCTTTGTTGTACAACTAGAAGTTTTAAACACACAGTGCCTACTCACGATATCAAGTTACATCACTTCCTAAGATAACCTGACATCTGACATGGTGTTGCATTCCCTCCCTAGGATTTCCCAGGTATTGAATCACCTTCCAAGGGTATTGGATGAGGTCTTCCGTGTATTGCATCATCTTCTATGGGTATTGCATCATCTCTGGTTAAAACAATAGGGTAGCTAATTAATGAATTCATTGAAGCTTCAGCATGGCTTCTGACAGGCGTATAAATGGGATTTCCATGGATGAGGAATGCAATAGTATGTATATTTGTTGCATTCCTCATCCAAGGAAATCCCAATTTTGACAAGAGATTCTGAAAGCCTGGACCTAAATTACCCTGGGTAGCAATTTTCAGCCCATACCCATGATTTGTTCCAAAGATATTGGCGTCCAAAATCCCTATAAATTAACGTTTGCGATTTGCGCAGGCAACAAGGGGGCACGGCTCCAGATTTTTGGGGGGCCATATCTAGGAAACCCCTTGGAGTAGGATCCTAAAATTTGCATGTGTTCATTATGAATATAGAGGTACTCTCAAAATAAATTTGAGCCAAATCTGAGTTGGTGACGGTGAAAGATTCTTGTATTTTGGTTGAGTTCACATGGAATGACCCTTGTAACATTCAGTAAATCCAGTCAACTGGCTTGTAAATGGCTAACATATACAGTCACTGTCTTAAAATTTCCAGACGAGTGGCTAAGACCTTGCCTAGGAATTCAAGGCGAGCTTTTTTTAGCGGCCCTCGCGGATCGTTCCAAAACTGGGGCAACCGGATGTCCTCTGCATTTTTTGCAAGGAACTTCTTTGCTGTCATGGGCATGTTACTCCGAGATAGATTCATTCTGAGTTACAGGGCCCATGCTGATGCATAACAAGTTTAAACTTTGGTTGACCTCTTACACAAAACATGCTGAGATTTTGAGAAGCATCCTGAACCTATTCTCCAATGCAAGCTTAAACCACTTTATGCAATTGTATGGACAAATAGGAGTCTATCCTAAGAATACAGAAACAAAGTGCTGATTTACCTCAAAAAATTTTACTTTTTTATTAAAACATTTTTATCTAAAATTAAAGAAGGAATACAATGAAAACAAAATCATCAGAATTGTCACTTGCATTATCGGGGCTTACCTCAATAGCTGCATAACCTGACATGGCTCAAAAGAATCACTGAATCACTATCAGAAATGGTAGTTGCCATTAGGCTACATTAACAAACCATGCACGTGGACTCCGTATCTTAACCTGACCAAATTTGGAAACCAAAACAAACTTCATTGTCTAAACCTCGTCCATAGTACCCACTGACGCTTCAGCCAAGTAACACAACGCATGTCCACAGCAAATGAATTTCTGGGAACGAGAATTGTTAATTTATGCACATATCTGCTGTAGACAACCATTCTCGAAAGCCGTGATTCACCTCGAAATGTCCCATTTTGCGAAAGTTTCTTCCCTAATGGCATATCCCGCAGCTATGTTCACTATCTACAGCCGCTTCGAAGGCGAAAATTAAACATTGGCGATTGGTTCAAAAAGGGTCACTTGGTACGGGTTGCTCAATCACAGAACGGGTATCTCTCGCTTTTGGTTTCCCAGTATCTACGAGGACTTGTTCCCATCTTTTCTACAAAGCAGTGTTGGCGCTACCGTTCTGTATCATATCAAATGAGTCATTCCGTGTCAATTGGACTAACCTTCCCGGATGACCATCTCTGAATTTCTTCCTACTTTGATATATCATTTATCAATGTATCTGAAGTACTCTCCCCAAATATTTAATCAAAATTCCACATAGTCCTCGAGTTTCGGGCCTTTAAGTGGGAGGGGGGTCTGCGCTCCTGAGCAAATCCTTATTTCTAGGCCATTTTGAGGGGGCTACTATGAGAAATCCAAAAGTGGTACAGGTCTAAGTTTAATTACACAAGTAGTACTACTTATAGAGACCAGGGAGAAAATATAAAATCATACCCCTTGTATCATGGGCTGATGCACCAACGCTCGGAAAAAAAAAAAAAAAAAAAAAAAAAAATCATAGGGCCATAACAAATTTTAAATAATCAAAAATTTGTCAAAATTAGAATTCTATCTCCAGCAACTAAATCTTTGGGCTACTAATTAATGTAGATATGGAGCTTGTATGGGCAAAACAATTATTCCTTAAAACACCATACAGGTGGCACCACTGGTGGCCAAAATCAGCCAATTTAGTAAAATAGCCTCATTTCGGCAGCCATTAAGGCCACGTGGCCCAACTTTCATCGATTTGCAATATTTTTTCCTTGAAAGACAACATTATAAGCTTTCGATTGAATATGGTTCCTAAGGTGCTTCGTATTTCTTTCTGGGTGAAATAATTTCATCAAAGTTCAGTATTTTGTGTATCATTTTAAACTTCAAAAAGGGAATGTACTCCCGGCAATAGTGCCAATAGAAAACAACCCAGACAAGCGGGCGAAAATTCCTCGGAAAATAGAACCAACCGGACAATGAAAAGAATAGAAACACAGCCTCCAACTCCCAGCAAGGAGGGGGAACTTACAGAGGCTCAGAGTGAAGGGAGTAGACTCAAAACTTTGTGAGGGCGACAGAAGCACCTCCGCTCTAGAAGCAACAAGCTCGAAAAGAGGTGAGACTGCTCACTAAACCCCGCAATAGCTCACAACTCAGGCTGTGCAAGGGAAGAGAGACAGCAGATAACCGAAAGAAGGTCCAGATAAGGAATAGAGACTTCAAAACTTCCTACAAAGAAGGATTCTAAACTAGCCTCAAATATGCAGCTAAACCCTATTCTAAGGCTGACTGCCGGCTTGGTAGTGCACAAGCAGAGTGACACAAAAGCGCAGAGCACTGCTAAGGCAAGTCTTAAATACTGCCAAACACAGCAGGTATCAATTAAGCCACTAATTAACAGTCAGAGCTCTGATGGGAGCCTGCCCTACTGAATCAGCGCCTTGATGAGAAAATGAAATTGAGCAGGTAAAAACCATGACAGCATGAGGAAATTAATTTCCTTGTAGCTCTTAAATGAAACTCAAATTACTTTTACGAGTGCTGCATGCTGAAAAGACGGATTCAAGGATGTTTTGAACATTGATTTTCTTGCAAAAAGGCATGGGAAAGCCACAGATTTCTGCTACAATATCCATTTTCGTTTTAACATAAAATCATACTTCCACATCCAAGAACTGCGGACTACACCATGCATTATTAGCAGATGAATGTACAAGTACACTCCTGAGAAATAATCTCAGCAATTGAATTTATAATACTCATATTATTGGCAACCCCACTCGATTTTCAGTCATATTATTAGGCTGATATAAGCCACACAGCATGGTTAAAAAAATGCCAGAATTTTTCTAGAACAAGTTGGAAACACAAGTAGAATTTTCTACAGTTAATTGCCCTAATATAAAAGCTGCTCCACAAATTTTCTCAGATTTTTTTCTGGCAGGTCTGCATGACTAAATAATGCCTTGAATTTAGGCATTTTTTTATCATGAGTATTTTCAGATGCAAGTTATTCCAAAAATAGAGACAGGAGATTGGATTGGATTTAAGGGGCCAGTATGCTGTAGCTGTTGAGGATGAGGCTGCAATATGAACCCCTGATTATGCATACTTTGGTCAAGGGGATCAACTAAAAATCAAATATAAATTTTGGTTCTGTAAAAATGGTCATTTTCAACATCAAATGGAACTTAAGATTTGGGATTTGACCATTTGAAATGATGGCATGATTTTTTTCAAATTTTTCTGAGACGGAGTGGTGCAAACCTTCCGAAAACTGTTCCTTTTGGCATGGAATGACCCTGGTAAACATCGCCTCTCCCAACTTTTTTGAGATGTGTTGCTGCTATCAAATTCAAAATGAGCCAATATTTTTCATGAAATGGTAAAATGTCTCACTTTCAACATCTGACATGTTGTCTATGTTTCATTGTGAATAAAATTTGGGTTTCTGAGATTTGCAAATCACTGCATTGTTTTTATTCAAGTTCATTGGAATTGGGGTTTGTTAGAAACCCAGCTAACTAGTACAAAACATTGGCATGGGAGCCAGGCAATGAACTGTTATGGACGAGGCAAGCAGCAAACATATTTTAGTCTTATAATACACTGCACTGATACAAATTTGAACACACCAACCCTTTAACAAGTCTTCTGTCAGAGTGGAATTGAATATAACCCTCGGTAATTTTTAGAGTCCAATGCAAATAGACTGTGAAAAGGTCTTTGGCCTGAACATGGTGCAATGTACTGTTATTTGCGATGCTATTGTAGAAAATTCCATAACAGTTCACCGTAGGCAGTAATGGAGATAGATGCTAAAAGCTCTTTACTCTGAGCATTGCATATTGTACTATTAGTAACAATGCTATATTCAGAGCAAAGGGCCTTTTATTATTTTTGTTGCTAATTAAAGTCACCCATTTTCGAACCTTGCTAGCTCTCTATAAACTGTTGCTTAGCCAGCTAGCTAGCCAAGTAGTTACCCCTGTTAGCCTGCTAGTTAGGTAGTAAGAACTACACTGACAGTCATTGAAAACTTTGAGAGATTTCTGTATATCTGTATTTGTGGGGGGGGGAGTTGGGAGTATGTGGTTTTATTGATGTCTTAGTACTCAGGTTGCCAACTTTCACGCATTCGGCCTTAGTTTAAGTGGTATATTCACGTTCCCGTGCAGTATGTCAGC